TCTACTAGCCTCGGCCTGATGCCTGCATTCAGCCTGATGCCGCTACTCAGCATGATGAACTGATCCAGCCCGACGATCCTATTAGGCCAGTTGACTCGATGCCCGCTGTTGATCCAGATGATCCGGTACCTGATCCAGTGCCCGCTGTCGTGCCAATTGACTCAGAGCCCGCTGTCATACCTGGTGACCCGGTGCCCACTGCCTTGCCAGATGACGCGGTGCCCGCTGGCAAGCCAAATGACCTGATGCCTGGTGACCCAGTGCCCGCTGTCATACCTGGTGACCCGATGCCCGCTGTCGAGCCAGACAATCCGATACCTGATGACCCGGTGCCCACTGTCGTGCCTGTTGACTCGGAGCCCACTGTCTTGCCAGACGACTCGGTGCCCGCTGTCTTGCCAGACGACTCGGTGCCCGCAGTCTTGCCAGACGACTCAGTGCCCGCAGTCTTGCCAGACGACTCGGTGCCCGCAGTCTTGCCAGACGACTCGGTGCCCGCAGTCTTGCCAGACGACTCGATGCCCGCTGTTCCGCCAGTTGACTCGGTGCCCGCAGTCTTGCCAGACGACTCGGTGCCCGCAGTCTTGCCAGACGACTCGGTGCCCCAGTGTTGCCAGACGACTCGGTGCCCGCAGTCTTGCCAGACGACTCGGTGCCCCACTGTCTTGCCAGGTGACTCGGTGCCCGCCGCTTCGTCTGGGGGCCCGAGACTCTGTCGCTCCGCCTGGGGGTCCGGTGCCCGCCGACTCGGTGCCCGGCCGTCCGCCTGGGGGCCCGAGACCTGTCGCTCCACCTGGGGGCCCGGCGCCCGCCGCTCCGCCTGAGGGCCCGAGACCTGTCGCTCCACCTGGGGGTCCGGCGCCCGCCGCTCCGCCTGAGGGCCCGAGACCTGTCGCTCCATCTGGGGGGGGTCCGGCGCCCGCCGCTCCGCCTGAGGGCCCGAGACCTGTCGCTCCACTGGGGGTCCGGCGCCCGCCGCTCCGCCTGGGGGCCCGAGACCTGTCGCTCCATCCTGGGGGTCCGGCGCCCGCCGCTCCGCCTGAGGGCCCGAGACCTGTCGCTCCGCCTGGGGGCCCGAGACCTGTCGCTCCATCTGGGGGTCCGGCGCCCGCCGCCGCCGCCTGAGGGCCCGAGACCTGTCGCTCCCTGGGGGTCCGGCGCCCGCCGCTCCGCCTGGGGGCCCGAGACCTGTCGCTCCATCTGGGGGTCCGGCGCCCGCCGCTCCGCCTGGGGGCCCGAGACCTGTCGCTCCGCCTGGGGGCCCGATGCCTGTCGCCCCTCCTGGGGGCCCGATGCCTGTCGCCCCTCCTGGGGGCCCGATGCCTGTCGCCCCGCCTGGGGGCCCGATGCCTGTCGCCCCCCGGGGGCCCGATGCCTGTCGCCCCGCCCGGGGGCCCGGTGCCTGCTGCCCCGCCCGGGGGCCCGGTGCCTGCCTCCCCCGGGGCTCCGCCCGGGGCCCGGTGCCTGCCCCTGTGCTGCTCCGCCCGGGGGCCCGGTGCCTGTGCCTCGCCCGGGGTCCTGCCCGATGTGCCTCTGCCCGGAGTCCTGCCCGATGTGCCTCTGCCCGGAGTCCAGCCCGATGTGCCTCTGCCCGGAGTCCAGCCCGATGTGCCTCTGCCCGGAGTCCAGCCCGATGTGCCTCTGCCCGGAGTCCAGCCCGATGTGCCTCTGCCCGGAGTCCAGCCCGATGTGCCTCTGCCCGGAGTCCAGCCCGATGTGCCTCTGCCCGGAGTCCAGCCCGATGTGCCTCTGCCCGGAGTCCAGCCCGATGTGCCTCTGCCGGAGTCCAGCCCGATGTGCCCTGCCCGGAGTCCTGCCCGATGTGCCTCTGCCCGGAGTCCTGCCCGGTGTGCCCCTGCCCGGTGTGCCGCTGCCCGGAGTCCTGCCCGGTGTGCCGCTGCCCGGAGTCCTGCCCGGTGTGCCAGTCTTTGATATCCCGCCAGTTACCAGACCCGGGCGGTGGAACATTTTGCCCAGCTAGGACTGTTTGGAGCGTCCTGAGGCCGCTCCTTGAGGGGGGGGGTACTGTCAGGAATGGACTAGCCAGCAATGGTGGGACTCACCTGCCTTTTGATCTGCAGTACCAGGGCTGGCCAGCGGATGCTCCCAGCAATCAGAGACTCAACTTTGCAGCCAGCTAACACCTGGAACTGATTATGCTGGGGTATTTAAGGGATGGCCAGACTTGCAGACTCTGCCTTGGTGTTGTGTTTCTCTTGGGCCCTGTATCCTGTTCCTGCTCTCTGTTCCTGTCTGATTCTCTGCTACCTGTTCTGATCCCTGGCTTGCTTGTCTGACCATCCCTCTGCCTGACCCTCTGTACTACGCTGCCTGCTACCTGTTCTGATCCCTGGCTTGTGACCCTGACCATCCCTCTGCCTGACCCTCTGTACTACGCTGCTAGCTACCTGCTGAACCTGGCCTGTGACCCCGACCAATCTCCGCTTGCTCCCCCTGTACCTACCTGCCCTATTGATATTGACCCGGCCTGCCTGACGACGCTTGCTTGTATGTACTGTTATCTGTGGGTGGTTGGTTGGTTTGTTTGCACTGTTACTACCACTTTAATAATTTTGTTCCTACCTCACTGTCTTCATTTTTATTCTCCTTCATGTGCTGTATCCTACTGTTTTCACAAGTTAGCTTGCAGTTCCTGCTTGTGTTTTCCTACCTCCTTGCTGCAGCTCTCTTTTTCTACCTCGATTATTTCACATGTGTGTCTTGGCTGTGCTCTCCTATTGGAGTCGCCTGCTATTCTGTGGGTTTTATTTCCATCCATTCCATTACTTCTTGGCCCGCCTACTAGTTTGCTTGTTTATATAAGACATGCTCAGAATAGCCCATGTTGCCTGAGCAAATGCATTCTTTGTACTGCTGTTTGCTTGCTACTTGTATATTCCATGTACCAATCATAGCTTTGTCCATCATCATTGATCTGATCTCAGCCTGTCTCCTGGATATCCTGTTGTCTCCTGCTGTTTGTACTCTGTACACATGAGTAATCGCCGCATTCACAGCTTGGCGTGCCTGAGGGCTGCGACCTGGTCCAGCTTGCTGCAAGTCCATCCCCACCTTCAGGGGCCTTGGTGAAGAAGCAGGCTGGGGGCTTAGACTTCAGGGCCTGGGGAACCCTGAGTTGGCGATCTACAAGGGCTCACTACCACAGACACTTGACAGCTGTAGCTATACACATCATACTTTTTTACCTATCTGATGTTCGTCTGTAGGATCTTCATGAATTCTGGATTAAAAACTTTCTACGATCTGCTGGATGTCATTTCGATCTTGTCACTGTCTTCTAATTCTGCTGACGCTGTGAGTAAGACATCTCATTCACTGGTCTAGTTAGAGATCCCACTTGCAATGCTTGGATTGGAGAGGCAGAACACAGGAAGTACATGGGCTGCTTTTGGTGGTATGTCATATTGATCCTCTGGTTTAAACACTTTCTGAGGCACTGCCCTAGAAAATGCTCGTAGATCTAAAGTCAGCGATTCATGTAGCCTCGAACCTCAAGGATCAGCATAAAAGCCAAGTAACTAGCATCATCAGAAGGAAGTCAGCAATGGCAGTCAAACATGTAATGTTACCGATTACCATGCATTGAAAATTATACTGTAAAATATTCATATTGCTTCATGAGCAGATTCCCTTTGAATGAACGCCCAAAGGGTCATCTTTTTGAGTGCAGACTAGATATATATACTATATTTTTTTTTCTTTCATTTGGTTTTACCACAAACAACATATTACACTTATGCATGGTACAAAGCCAACATTCCAGTATTCTACAATGGTGTAATAAGTATACATCTTCAAAATTATTAGTCACATCTCAACATCTTGACTGAATATTAAATAACATCTGATCTGGTTACTGATTAATTGTAAGCAACTTGTTTTTAGTCTGGGAATGAGTAACTAGATAGGTAAAAATAACTGCATAAAGGCTGGGAAGGTAACAAACCGTATGTAAGAAGGAAGACAAAGAAGAGAAAAAAAACATGGGGGGGTGGGAGTGAGAAGACTGAGGGTTTTTAGGGACTGTGGTCTGTCCTCCCTCCACTTCAGTATTTAGTGGCTTGTAGACCTGGTGAAAATGGCAATACTCTAGAGGTCTAAGACATTCTGGAGAAGCAGAGAGAGTTACCGTTTAGTAAATTGACAATTGTGAAAATAAAACCATGTTTTACGAAACTGCTCTTCTTTGCATTTCAAAGCTGCTAGGAGATCTTCCATCTGTTGCATCTTATTACAGGAGAAGTACAGCCAAAGCTTTTAGCTGCACTTCAGTGGATCACAGGAGTGCAGTTCATTCTGTACTCCTGTGACCCGTTTTCAGCTGACAGAGGGCTGAAGCCTGTTGTCGGCTGACATCACTCAGCTGTCCAGGCTGGGAAAAGATCCTGACTTCAGTAAGGATCAACCCCAGAATCTGGAGCAGCACATGGCTCAGCCTGTCAGTGTTCTGCTGAGAGCCTGAGCCAGTCTCTCCCTCCCCCTCCACACCACAGTGCTCCAGTGAGCATGGGGAAAGGGGGGGGGGGGGGGCCAGAGCAGACAGCGGTGACTGACAGACTGACAGTCACCACTCTCTGCTCACAGCAGCTGTGAGAACTCAGCGGTTATGTGATATCTGACTCCTCACCCTTAGAGCCGGCAGGGGACTGATGCAGCCTCAGACCGATACTGCATCCACCTAGGTAAGTATGATTTAAAAAAAAAAAAAGTAAACCTCATACTTATCTTTTAACCACAGAGATCCACAGGCCAGGGATATATTTTACCGATCATAAACTGCAGACAAATGTAGATATCCTAAAAGAAAATCTGCATCACTACTGCACCCATCAGTTTTAAAAATCTATGAGGAATCTATGCTTACTTAGTATCCTGTAAAGGAAATGTTGGGCTCCACTTGTGTCAAAGCTTTTAAAAAATTTTGCCCATTAAAATGCATATCTGAATTTATGATATAGTGAAGAATATAGAGAACTTACCAGCAGCATGAATTGGAGTTCTTTGAGTAACTGAGTCATGTACAGTAATGGAAGCTCCCTGACTAATAAGAACTTCAACACACTCTGTGTGCCCTTTAAAAGAAGCAAGATCCAGTGGTGTTCGTCCTTTTTCATCTTTATTATCAACATCGGCATAAGTGTTAAGCAGTATTTCTAAGGCTTGATGATGTCCATTGTATGCCTAAATAATGATGGTAGAAATACTAATAAAATGCATGGTGAAAATAATCTGTAGTGGTTCTCAAACTTTTAGCTGTTATGCCCCCATTATGAAGCAGCTGAAGCATATGTACTGACACAATTCATTTAGCACACTGGCGGGTTGCTCTGTATAATATGTCTGCTCTCTGCACACTGTAGGGACACCCAACACTCCTCCACATTGCACCTGTTTTGTAATACACTGCACAAGTCAAATGTGGTGTGCTGCATTGAAAATAATTCAAAACGTGCTACATTTGTTTGCCAAATCTAGCCCAGTATAACAGCCAAAAAACGTTTGCATTGTTGTGCAGTGTGATAAGGTTTGAATGGGCCCTAGCAATCTACTAACATAACACACCGAAAGACTGCTGAGCTAGCTGAACTGTACCTATGTGAAAAAAGTGGACATATAAAAGTAGCTTGGGAACGTACTATATGCATACCTCCCAACTGTTCCTGGTTTGGACTGTCTTTCCCTCATTTAGAACAAAGTTTCTCTGTCCCTCTTTGCCTACATACATTTTGCTAATAAGTGTCCCTCTTTCCCATCGCAGAAAGTTGGAAGTTACACACTCAATATCAACTGTGCTAATATTATATGCGTGTTAAAAATTGTGCAACAACCCTCAAAATTAGCTGCAAGCACAAAAGTGCTGTGCTATTATGTAAACAAAAATCAATACCAAATCCACAAATAATCAATAATGAAACAATAATAACGAAAGTGATATACCGGTAGTAGTACTTGGGGGGTGATTATTATACTTTCCCCCTTCTCCAGGTAATTAAAGTCAAACTTAATGTATGGGCTAAGCTCCCCCTCTCAGTGGCAGGCAGGATCAATTTAACAAAGATGATTCTTTTACCCAAGTGTTTAAATGTTACAGCTCATATGCCAATCTCAGTACCCAAATCATCTTTAAAACTATAGATGCATTATTTACCTTTATTTGGGCCAACAACAGGTGAAAACTGAAGCTTTCTATTTTGCAACGGCCAAAGGTTGAAGCTGGTATGCTGCTCCCTAATATTATCTTGCCAGGCAACTTCGCCACTCGACTGCCTGGCTGGTATCTATTATTCTGGCTGTAGTGGAAGCACATTTAGCTCATGTTCTTAAAGTAGACTATCTTCTAGTAGCACTAGAGGCACCTCTAGCTGTCCTTGCAGTAAAGTGTGTACCAATCTTGACATTGGCCCAAACTGTGTGGAGAGATGCCAAAAGAATAGATGAGTTCAGAGAGATTGCCCTGGAACTCCCACTATTTCAAAATCCAATGTTTCCACATTTACAACATCTCACCGATAGCTTCTTCTGGGTTTGCATGTGTATTACTGTATTAGAAAGATGTATATACCAATAATGTTTTGGCTTCTTTTGAGGAATTACAATGCAAATATGACTTTCCACATACTGCTTTTGTATAGGTATTTGCAGTTTAGACATGCTCTACACACACAGTTTGGTGTTACTACAACAAGATTTTTTTCTAACTACCCACTGAGAGGAATATTATGGTCTCAAGGGCCTAAAGGTCTGATCTCTGATCTGTATTCCCATTTGATGTATTCTATGCATTATAAAACCCCAACGGCAATATGTTCAAAATGGCAACAACTTATCCTTGACCTCTCAGTTGAGTATTGGGAAGAAGCTTTCTCTTCTCATATACATGTGTCCCCAGCTATTAATAATAAGCTAATACAGCTATATATGTTGCATAAAATCAACTTAACACCAGTCAGACTTCATGCTATGCACCGAACACCTGCCTCGAAGTGCACTAGATTTGATTGCCCACAAGCAGCTTTCACTCATGTTATGTGGCCATGCCCTGCTATAGTTAGACAATGGCAACAAGTAACCCATACACTCTCTATTATATCTATCTGTGCCTGTACCTTGTACTCCAAGAGTGTGCCTATTGGATATATTAGACATGGAACAATGGCTAAGATTTATCCGAATTATGTTGTGGGAATCATTATTTCTGGCATGCAAGGCTGTAGCACTCAAATGGATTCAGTATATTTCACCCCTCTGTGCGCAAATGGATGCGAGTGGTGAACCAGATTTTGCCATATGAAAAGCTTACTTTTAAACACAGGGGTTGCCCCAGAAAATATAATAAAGTGTGGGATGTCTAGTGCTCATCCACTCTTACTGTAACTAGAGATGAGCGAATCGAACCTGGCGAAGTGGAATTCGTTTCGAATTTCAGGAAAAATTCGATTCGCATCGAATCCGAATTTTAGCAAACTTCGAGTGCACGAATCGAATTTTTCCCGATCAGCCGGCAAAAGTGTCACTGCAGAGAGCTCCGCTATTTCTGACAGTTCTGACAGTTCATTTACAGCGGTTGAAACATTGTATCTATTTGTTTCCATTTAGGATACAGATGTTTTTATTCGGAAATAAATAGATACAATGTTTCAACCGCTGTAAATGTGAAGGAACTGTCAGAGAACTGTCAGAAATAGCGGAGCTCTCTGCAGATACACTTTTTGCTGTACTGGAATACTTCTTCTTTTCATTCTTCTTCTTCTTTTCATTCTTCTTCTTCTTCTTTTCATTCTTCTTTTCATTCTTCTTCTTCTTTTCATTCTTCTTCTTCTTCTTTTCATTCTTCTTCTTTTCATTCTTCTTCTTCTTTTCATTCTTCTCTTCTTTTCATTCTTCTTCTTCTTTTCATTCTTCTTCTTCTTTTCATTCTTCTTTTCATTCTTCTTCTTCTTCTTTTCATTCTTCTTCTTTTCATTCTTCTTCTTCTTCTTTTCATTCTTCTTCTTCTTCTTTTCATTCTTCTTCTTGTCATTCTTCTTCTTCTTCTTTTCATTCTTCTTCTTCTTCTTTTCATTCTTCTTCTTCTTCTTTTCATTCTTCTTCTTCTTCTTTTCATTCTTCTTCTTATTCTTTTCATTCTTCTTTTCATTCCTCTTCTTCTTCTTTTCATTCTTCTTCTTCTTTTCATTCTTCTTCTTCTTCTTTTCTTCATTCTTCTTCTTCTTCTTTTCATTCTTCTTTTCATTCTTCTTCTTCTTTTCATTCTTCTTCTTCTTCTTCTTTTCATTCTTCTTTTCATTCTTCTCATTCTTCTTTTAATTCTTCTTTTCATTCTTCTTTTCATTCTTCTTTTAATTCTTCTTTTCATTCTTCTTCTCATTCTTCTTTTCATTCTTCTTCTCATTCTTCTTTTCATTCTTCTTCTTCTTCTTTTCATTCTTCTTCTTCTTTTCATTCTTCTTCTTCTTCTTTTCATTCTTCTTCTTCTTCTTTTCATTCTTCTTTTCATTCTTCTTCTTTTCATTCTTCTTTTCATTCTTCTTCTTCTTCTTTTCATTCTTCTTCTTCTTCTTTTCATTCTTCTTCTTCTTCTTCTTCTTCGTCGTGCCCCGTGACTGCCCAAATGAGTGAAGTGTGCGGTGATTCTAAGATCGACGGCACTCATCTGCATGTCATACTGACTGACAGTATTATTTCTCTTCCCCAGCAGACTCCAAGGGCATTTAAATTAAAGGTACAGTGTTCTGCACTAATATAAAGGCTCTCTGAAGCCTAGAAACCCTTTAAATAAGTTAAATTCGCGGCGAATAAATTCGCATCGAATCGAATTTCTCCCGCAAATTCGGCGAATCAGCCGAATCGAATTTTTGAATAATTCGCTCATCTCTAACTGTAACCAATAAATGAGATATGTTATTTGTATGGTTGCGTTTTAAACGTAGGAAACTGCAGTCTTAATTGTCTTGTTGAACTTATTTGCTTACTTAGATGTGTTTCATACAAATATATAAAGCTAAAGAGCCTTTGGTTTTGATTGTGAATGTCATACTATATTGTGCATATACAGTTGTGTTAAAAATAATAGCAGTTAGACATCACTAACCTGATCAATCACTGTTTTTGGTAGAAATGATATTTCTACATGGCAAATAATTTACTAGCAGGTGTAGTAGAGTAATAGAAATCCAACAGACCCAACAGTCATGACATAATGACATGCATGCTGCTGATTCTGTGTAATTGAATTACTAATTGAAAGGAGCATGTTCAAAATAATAGCAGTGTGGAGTTCTATTAGTGAGGTCATTCATTCTTTGAAAAACAGGTGGCAATTTTTTCCCTTATTTAACGAAGGAAGGCAGCAAATGTTGTACATGCTGGTTACAGTGCATTTCTCTCTGAAATTCTGAGGAAAATGGGTCGTTCCAGACATTGTTCAGAAGAACAGCGTACCTTGATTAAAAAATTGATTGGAGAGGGGAAACATATAAAGAAGTGCAGAAAATGATAGGCTGCTCAGCTAAAATGATCGCAAATGCTTTAAAATGGCAACCAAAACCTGAAAGATGTGGAAGAAAGCGAAAAACTACCATTCGAATGGATAGAAGAATAGCCAAAATGGCAAGGACTCAGCCAACAATCAGCTCCAGGAAGATCAAAGAAGGTCTAAAGTTACCTGTGAGTACTGTTACAATTAGAAGACGCCTATGTGAAGCCAAGCTATCTGCAAGAAGCCCCCGCAAAGTCCCACTGTTGAAAAAAAGACATGCTGAAGAGATTACAATTTGCCAAAGAGCACATTGACTGGCCTTCAGAGAAATGACGCAACATTTTGTGGACTGATGAAAGTAAGATTGTTCTTTTTGGGTCTAGTGGCTGGAGACAGTTTGTCAGACGACTCCCAAACACTGAATTCAAGCCACAGTACACTGTGAAGACAGTGAAGCATGGTTGTGCAAGCATCATGATATGGGGATGTTTCTAATGCTATGGTGTTGGGCCTATTTATCGCATACCAGGGATCATGGATCAGTTTGAATACATAAGAATACTTGAAGAGGTCATGCTGCCTTATGCTGAAGAGGAAATGCCCTTGAAATGGGTGTTCCAACAAGACAACGACCCCAAACACACCAGTAAACGCGCAACATCTTGGTTCCAGACCAACAAGATTGACGTTATGGAGTGACCAGCCCAATCCCCGGACCTTAATCCAATAGAAAACTTTTGGGGGTGACATCAAAAATGCAGTTTCTGAGGCAAAACCAAGAAATAGAGAAGAACTGTGGAATGTAGTCTAATCATCCTGGGCTGGAATACCTGTTCACAGGTGCCAGAAGTTGGTTGACTCCATGCAACACAGATGTACAGCAGTTCTCAGAAACAGTGCTTATACAACTAAATATTAATTAAGTGATTCAAAGGAAAGCAAAATCTTCAAACATTTTTCAGTTTATATAGTGAATGTTTGCAAAGAAGAATGCAAACACTGCTATTGTTTGAACAGTCTAATATTCACTTTTCTTCAATTTTTTTAAAGGAACAACACAAATTTGATCTATTTTTCTTCATGTTTTGATTTGGAATAGAATGTGTAGTGTTCCCAATGCATTTGTGTGTATGGAAATAAAAGCTATTAGAAGGATTTTGAGCTTTATTCACTTTTTTCAACACACTGCTATTATTTTGAACACAACTGTATGTTTCTGTACCTGCTTTCATGTCTACAGACTGAAATGTTTGTTCAACTCACTTATGTTGAGCGTTGTGTTTACTGTATTACTGTTTGACATCTCCGGAGTTTTTCAAAAAAAATGATATAGTAAATTAGCGGATCCTTAAGACGTCTCTTCCAGTATTGCGTGCTCCGGACGTACGGTGAGAGGAACCATTTTTGTCATTGGAAACCTGCTGCCTTTTATGTTTTATATCTTTGTGAGCGTATTTGAGATTTTATAAAGCGGAATTCTATTATTTTATGGGGATGCACTACAGATTGTTCTTTTTCTCCCTGAGCATATACAGTGAAGGAAATAAGTATTTGATCCCCTGCTGATTTTGAATGTTTGCCCACTCACGAAGCAAATGATCAGTCTAAAAATCGAATGGTAGGTGTATTGTAACACAGAGACAGAATAGCAACAAAAAATTCAGAAGAAATGCATGTCTAACAAATTATGCAGTGATTTGCATGTTAATGAGAGAAATAAGTATTTGATCCCCTTCACAAAACATGACTTGGTAATTGGTGGCAAATCCCTTGTTGGCAATCACAGAGGTCAGATATTTCCTGTAGTTGGCCACCAGGTTTGCACACATCTCAGGAGGGATTTTGGCCCACTCCTTTTGGCAGATCCTCTACAAGTCATTAAGGTTTGGTGGCTGACGTTTGGCAACTCGAACTTTCAGCTCCCTCCACAGATTTTCATTCGGATTAAGGTCTGGAGACTGGCTAGGCCACTCCAGGACTATAATGTGCTTCTTCTTGAGTGCAGATTTCTAGGAAAATCAGTGAGCCAATCACATAAGCAGGAAATTACATTTCTGAGGAAGTTCTGTAGAACAACGCTATATAGAAGGCCCCCAGGTTGCCATATTGCATTGAGTTTTACAGAACATTACAATGCTGCAGATTGAAAAGGAAAAGTAATTTGTAATAACATGACATTATGGCTTGTGCAGCAATTGCACTAACGCTCACTATACAGGTTGCAATCGGACTGTACAATCTCTATGGATCTACCAATAACTGTGTTATGCAAAGGCCTGCCTGAGTGGATACAATGACTGAATAGTTAGGTATGTCCTCACATTTCATACTTTTGTAATCTAAAGGAGACTGAATAAAGATTTTACACTTAGGCTGTGGTATGGTGAGCTTATGAGAGAACAGTAAAGTGTTGCTAAACCCACAACAGTAAAATCAGTCTGTATATGATGTAAAGCATGCTTGTTATACTCACTGTGGAACCTAAGGGTTTAATCCTCTGCATTGTGTAAAAAGGCTGTTTGATCCTTCCTTCTCTGCCCCTCCTCTTGTTAAAATGACCACCTGAGACAGACTGAATCCACAGTCACTCTGCACATGCTCAGTTTGGTGTGTATTGCTAGAGAGGTTTTTTTTTTTTTTTCTTGGGAGAGTACATGTGATCAGCACAGGGCCAATTAGCACTGTCCAGAAAGAGGGTCAAGAAAACTCCTCCTACAAGCTTTAACCAGTGCTCTGCTGAAGTCACAAGACTGCTCTAACTGCTGATGAGAAAAGGTATTTAGCAGTTTATATTTACTAAAATAATTGCATTTCCATGTTGTGTGTACTGTGGAAGACCAGATAAGTGAAGGCAGAGTCCTGGGTTTAGTAACACTTTACTGCACAACCACTGTGCATCACTACTAGGGAAGAAGGAAAGCCTGTAAACTGAACATTAAAACACATTGATAATACCTACTGTTATGGATTATCATATTTCTGTTAAAACTGATAACATTTACAAGCCTATCCAAAAAATATTGAACGTATTAAGAGTACCCTTTGTCTGGAATTTTCCCTAAAAAATAATAATGCACTTCCCGGTATGTGAGCGTACCTAGGCACTCCTATACCTACAATCTCATTTTATCTGCAGTTTGAGATCTAACTCACTGCTGCATTTGTCTGTCAGTCTCAGGAGATTTGGAATGCGTTTTGGTGATATCAATATAGTGGTGGTCACTGCTCTTCCTACTGGAGGCTCTGTAACTAAGAAGCTAAGCCCCACTTCTACGAAAATGGCAGCCTACACACAAAGTAAAAGTATAGTCAGTAATTGGGAAAGGTTAGCTGAAGGGGACCACAGGCAATACTGGTGAGAAGTCCTTTGCCCTTTACCTGCCTTTTGTGGGAACAACTTCTGCATTTCAGTTCCAATTTAAGGTTCCCTTTTAGGTAAAGAACTTCATATGCTCATTATAATAGACATTTAAAAAAACATACCGCCAAGTGTAAAGGGCTTTTCGTAGTTGGAGGATTTGCAACATCAGTGATATCTTCAGTCCTTTTTAGCAGCTAAGAAAAAGGTTTGCATTAATTTTGTAAAATTTCTTACGTTATTAAATGCAGAGCTGCCCACATAACATAAACAAACATGGAAATGTCTGGATGCCTGATTATCTCACATAGCATCTCTTCCTAATTTTAGACAGGTTAACCTCCGCAGCTGCTGTTTTTTTTTATAATTGGCAAATTATGGTTTGATTTGTGGTATGTTGGTGATTTATGTTGTGTTTTTTGTAGCTCTGATATATTAATATATGATTTTTATAAATAATGTTGAGCTATCCCCTGGGTGTCATGAAAACAGGTTGAGCCCTGTCAGGTTTTTATTATTTCAAGTATACATACCAGCAGCTGCCTTGTTATATATATTTATTTTCTCTGTGTATTTGCTAAAAACTATTTCTGAGAATAAGTAGAAGACTTTGGACCTTGAGGACACATTTTATTAGGTTGTAACCTGTGGGAAAGCCAAGTTAAATATGTTTCAAGCTGCTGCAGACAGCTGACAGTGTAAGCTCATGTCATTCATGTTACAGTGTGACCCTCCAACACCACCTGGAGCCCTCCCAAAATACAAATACTGACTTACCCCGGTCACATCAAGCCCGACTTTGAAATCGTGCTACCTAGAGTGTAGTCGCACGATTTCAAAGTCGGAGGAGATGCCGATTTCAGGTGCGATTTGCAAGACATCTGACACAGATGTCTATTCAAATCACACAAAAAGTAGCACTACTTTAGAAATCAGTGCGGCTCCGACCAAGTCAGAATTGCACCGTTTTGAACGCTCTAATTGCAGACTATAGGGTGCAACTTGGCATACAATTTGCAAGTCACACGGCATGCCAAGTCGCACCCGATATAACTGGGTGTTAATCAAAGTCTGTATTTGCAAAGTGTGCTACAACTTTTCTTTTCCACAGGCTCATTTAAAACATAGTACCTTAACCCCTTCACGCCTAAGGGTAAAACAAATCTTAATGCCTAAGCACAATTTTGTAACGTTGGTATGTCTTAATAAAACCGTAAATATCATCACAACTACTTTGTACATCCAGGTGAATTATACCTTCTTTTTTTCAGGATAAATTGGGCTTTCATTTGGTGTTAAATGGTAATGGATATCTCCTGATTTTTTTTTTATTATCAAAGGAAAACTGGCCCAAAATAGTAAAAACAAATATATATTTTTTTAATTTAGCTGTGTGTTTGTTGTTACTACCATAGCCTACCACCAAAGAACAACCCAAAATAAATTTCCCAGCTCTTGATGATTGCAGCAAAACCATATATGTGTATGTTATTTGTTGTTTGTACCCATAGTACAGCCCAGAAACATTAGTGCGCATTTTGTTTTTTGTTTACCTAAAACACATGGACACTAACACCAAATTTAAAAAAATCCTGACCTTTGACACTGACCTTTTGACCCTGACCTTGACCCAAACACTGAACTAGATCAAACCTTGATGTAGGTATTTTTTCTTTATTTTTTAATATTTATTTATCTTTTTTTTTATCTTTTTAACAAACATTGCCCCCCCCCATGCCAGGAGTTAGAGAGATACAATGTATCTCTCTCCTCAATTAATAGAGAGAGAAAAAAAAAACAAGGGGGCTGGGCTGTACAGTGACTGATCACTGTGATAGCCAATCAGAGGCTATCACAGCAATCATGTGACCTGGAATCAGGAGTCCCGGGTCCTGATCGTTAGAACGGGACCCAGGGCTCTCAGTGACACTGCGGTCTTTGTGCTGGGAGCGCGCTGTGTGGCGTGCTCCCAGCAGAAAGAAAGGTAAGAAAATATGCATCCCCACAGAAAAAAGCCCAGTTCTGTGAGGCCGCATATTTGTGTGACGTCAGCGTCAAGGGGTTAAAGCTTACATTTAGCTAAAAAAAAGTTCTCTACAGCTTTTGTTATATTAATTTCTTGTAATTAAGTACTGTATATTCCACAATTGCAGGCTGCTTGATTCTGTAGAAATTGTCACTACAATGCTGCCCCATTCACTTCCTGCTGATGAACTGGTGCTGTGGGGGTTAATAGGTGTGGGTCTTAGCTCAGCTGCACTAAAATAATACGACAGGGACACGCCCCCTCCTGCCCTCTCCTCCATTCAGAAAACTTCTTTCACTGATCACACTACCTGTAACACCATTTGTGAATGGGGGAGAAAATCCTGTTACTGTTTAGGCTCTCCCCTTTCACAGATGGTGTTACAGCCATTGTAATTAGTAAAAGAGCTTATCTCAATGGAGGAGAGTGGAGGAGGAGATGTGTCCCAGTCAGCTCATCTATTTTGCAACTGATGTTGGAGATCTAAGACTATTATATCGGAGTTCCAGCCATTTTTGTCTTTATTAAAAGTCAGCAGCTACAGAAACTGTAGCTGCTGACTTTTAATAAACACACACTTACCTGTCCCAGGGTCCAGCGATGTGCTCACCCGCGCCATACCTTCTCTCCACAGTGCCAGAATCTCAACTGTGGGCTCCAGGCTCTGACAGCTTGCGGTTTTACAGCTGGGTGCCCACTGCACATGTGCGAGTCACGCTGTGCATCCTGATTGGTCCAGCAGTCTTCTGGGACCAGTGAAGATTCCCAGGAGACTGCGAGAGGAAGGAGGGGGCCCAACCAGGTACCTGCTCCCCCCCCAAAAGGTGCCAAATATGGCAGTGGAAGGGGGGAGGAGGCAAACAAGGGAAGCTTAAACTTTTGGGTGGAACTCTGCTTTATCCCCCACAGTCCTGGAAGTTCAGCAGCAGGAAGAGGACAGGGCAGCCCTGCAGTGAAGATTTCTGCAGAATGCAGCAGCTTGTTCTATATGGGACATACTTCATTACAAAGTAATGTAACTAAAGCTGTAGGGAAATTAAAAAAAAATAGCTTTATTATATATAAACCACATCAAGTAATTTTGTTTCTTTTTTGATTAAATAGTGATCATGATGATGTCCATATTCTGGGGGCTGTTTACTGAGGGGTAAATGCACATAATGTGGATAATGGTAAATGAGGGTTAAATGCACATACTCTGGGAGCTGATCATTAATAGGCAAATACTCATATGCTGGAGCTTAGACTCTGAAAGATTAATACACATTCTCTGATGGCTGATCAATGAGGGGATAATGCTTATAAAATAGACACTGATCTCTGGGGGTTAATGCACATACTTTGTGTCACCAAAGAGTTGATGCATATACAATGATAGGTTAAATGCATATAGACTGCTGGTATGACTAGAGAGTTCTGTGTAGTGGAAGGGTCATTTCACTGCTAGCAATAGAAAGGAGGAAGCATGGTGTATATGCTGGGAAGAGGATACAGGAGAAAGACTTTGTGTGAACTAGAGGTAGAAACTCAAAAGGTAGAGCATGTTGTGTGTTCTTCTAAATGCAGAATATGAGGTCAAATCCACCAGTGAGAAACTGAAACTTACTATCTAGAAAGTACTTACGTATCTATTTGTGTATTGATGATTAACCAATCCAAAATAAAGCTTGCATCCTAATGATACGTTTACTTTGTATTATATATAAGTTCTTTTGGATTTCCATTTATGGTTAAAGCTATCCGAGGGGGGGGGGGGGGGTGAGGAGGATGTTGTCATTGTTCTGACTAATACACTTTTTGTGTGTAAATTTCTGCTTGGGCTTTTGATCTCTCCAAACTAGTTTTTCCTTCAACAAGCAAATGAGCAGATTCTGGAAAAAAATTAAAAGTAGCCAAGTGCTCCATCTGCTGTCTACAGAGAATACAGAACATTTTTTTTTATTCAATCATTTTATATATACCCATTATAGATGACAAAAAGAAAAAATATATGTTTAAATTTTTTTAACACTACTATTTAGCACTGACTAGACAAAAAAAATGTTCATTAGGATGAAAGGTCACTTACTGACCGTGAAACTACCACAGAAATATAAAGTCTCATACTATACTGGGGGAAATCTGCATAGCCTTCAGAAAGCCTACTAAAAGAAAAATGAAAGTTGATAGTGGAGGATGGTACATTTTAAGTGGCTCCCAAAATTTCTAAGCAATCTGACAAGCTTGGATACATGAACAAATTTGACAGTGATTCAGCCACAAGTCAGTTCAATAAAATCTATTTTAACCTATAATATCTGACCACTGATTTGGTTTAGCATGCAGGAGGAGATGTTACATATTTAAAGTGATACTAAACAGTGTCCTTATTCTCCACGAAATGATCACTGCACGTTAGTTGCAGTCAGGGGCACTACTATATGCATACCACAAATCTCATGGTCTATCTCAGTAGTGAGCAAGAGAGGGTGGCTACAATCCTAAATATAGTGGGACCACGGTGAATTAATGTAGCCCCCTCTATCAGGAAGCGAGATTGCAGCAGCATAAAAAAGGGAATTTTGAGATATGGAGGAGTAGTAGAAGGCCCTTTTTTGAGTTATGAATACATACATTTTTTTTTGATCAAACCAGAATTTAGTATCACTTTAACACTATTACAATGAGTTCAGTTTGCGTATTACGCTGTGATTGTATAATACTGTACACTTACATATTCCAAGCCTTCTCTGTGACCATAGGCAGCAGCATAATGGATGGCACTGTAGCCCGCTTTGTCACAAATTGATGGGTCGGCTTTGCTCTCCAGCAGATATTGCAAGCACCTGTTTTAAAAATGTTATTATTTGCTATGAAGAATGTAAGCAATATCTGTAGCATCAGTACAATTATTCTTAGTCATAAACATATAATATGAAGAGCAAATTCCAAAGTCTTGGGGCAATATGCAGTTAGTTTTTTAGCTTTATTTGTTGTATTTAAAAGCTGAACAATGACGTTTTACTCACAGAAAGGTTAACACATAGGTTAGACATGGAAAGTTTTAAGGTGGAGTAATGAAAAAGAACTGCTAAAAGAAACTGAGAGAAATTAGGAGGATTTAGAGATATATTTCTGACTGGCATCTGCTTTTTGACCACAACCACCATTAAAAATGATTCCGATACTACTGCTTAAAGCTCAATAGTATACCTTTTATATTGGTGATAACTGGGGTACAGCTAGCCAAAAAATGATTTACAAAATAAATAACAAACTCCTATTTGTTTTATGTAAAGTCATAATGGACCTTGTCTGATATACTACTCCCGTATAGCAGTGTAGTTGCCATGCAGTTTTATTGGTTTACAGGTAGCCAAATACATATTTTGTGAAATAATTAAAAACATATTTTTCATCTTCCTTCTCTTGCAGTATCTCCCACTCTACCAGCAGCAATAGTTGCCTATCACCGTCAAACGCTGACATACCATATTGCACACACTCAGCAAAGTGTTGTTGATGTGTTTCCCATATGTAATCAGTCTCTTCTTGCCTCTTACAGGTGGACAATGTGCTCAGTGACAAAATCTTGATTACTATCACCATTCTGGCAACACCGCCTGCTTTGATGAAGTTATAAATCTGAAGGTCTGAAAGATTTTGATGAACTATTCAGGCTATAGCCAAGTTTGCAGAAATGAAAGGGGTGTAATCAGCGCAAGCACTGCTAGAAGTCCTGAGTAATCCTGGTGTGGGGTAATGGTGGTAGCTATGGCTGTATAAGGAAGATGAGCGTGGGGGTCCGTGTAGCACTGAGGGCAAGGCTTCCAAATAGACTGTAGCAGACTCTGTAGGTGAGAGAAGGAGAGAAGCGCCTCTAAGTGCAATATGTCTCTTTATTTAGGTATATAGGTAGGAACACTCACATAGATAAGATAATTAGAAGCATAGAAACTGTGGTTAATTGGTGACCAACAGTAAGGTGGGTATCCATGGTGAAGAGCTGTCATCTGTGTGGGGCATTTTCAAGCTGCTTAAAAAAGGAGTGCACTTCCACCTTGGGTATCTGACGTCATCAGGGCCACGCCACCGCTGCGTTCCACCCGACTCTGAGGCAGGACGTGCACGCCGGCCGGCCTCACCGCTGTTCCCCTCCAGCCACCACGCTGCTCCAGCGGCACGCTGACCTCTCCATACCCCCACACAGATGACAGCTCTTTGGGAAGTACAAAGTGTAGGGTCTTTAAGAGGACCAGAGGAGGGCTGGAGTCAGCTTTTGGAGCCTGCTGCATGCTGAGACCAGGGGAGGCCGAGACGAGGAGGTGCTGTGGCTGCACAGAGAGGTGCAGGATCTGTAGGAGGTGTTCTGTCCTCCTCTCTGCTGCATTGGGAATGTGTTGCAGAGACAAGCCTCTCCACAAATGCTGCCTACTGCTGAGACAAGGTGGGGCAGAGATGAGGTGGGTGCTACAGCTGCAGGAGAGGTGTAATGGCCACGTGAAATGGCCTGGCAGGCTGGATTTGGCCTGCAGGCCTTGTGTTTGATATATGTGCTATAAGATGTGAGTGTATTGTTTTTAGCTTGTTTTAAATAAAGTGAGTGGCTGGTTTACACTATGAAAGTTTCCTGTGCTTTATCCTAATGCCAACTTCCTGAGGAGAGTGAGGAAGGGTATGCACCAGCTGTGAAAGCTGAGTCGGAGGATCAGAGCAGGGGGAGGTGGAGAGATACAAAAAAGATCCTGAGGGTAAAATCCTTGAAGTAAAAAGAGTGGTGGAATCTCCTTTGGACTGAAGGAGTAGTGGAACCCTCCTATGGTGATTTAATCAGGAGCACATAGAATATACAGCAAGTGAATGATTATATAAAGGACACTGGACAAATTTTTGCAACACATTTATTTACTTGTTTAGGACACACATGGTTTGCACAATTTAAAGGCACAAAATTGATACACTTAAATTTGCACTTAATATAATTGATGCAGTTTAATTGGATGGTTTGCACAGTGTAAAAGGCCTATATAAGTAATGCACTTTATGTAAAAAAAATTTGTATATAAATTAAATTGTAAATATTTCACTGCTGATGCCAATTTTTCTTCCTGACTGACGAGAGACATTTTTATTTTTACCAACTGCATCCCACTAGAAGACCTCAGAAAACGCAATTCTGGGGAGTGGGGAGAACTGTATCAGAACATCGTAACTTTTTTATATATTTAAGACTTATTAGAGCTTTTATCATATTTTATTGTGTTGGTTAGAGTAATATTGCGCATATCTATATAATTTGCATGGTGTACGGAGGTTACCTGGGTAATAATTGATCTAACTTTTTGGGTACTGATATACTGTGTACTAACCTATTTGAAGTATTTTGCTGTGCATTTTATCAGGTATCCTTTCCTATTTCCCTACGGTCGCGGGAAATTGAAAATTATATCTGGAGCACTAATCATTTAATACTAACCCCTAGAGAATTGCATATTGTAAGAAATCACATTGGTGAAAAGAACTCAAGGAAAATTATAGCGTGGTGATCAAGATATTAAGGTGTCCATATTATTGGATTATTAATTATTTGCCGTATTTAAGGCTGGAGGCACTGTATTATATTGTTTACGGGAGTCGGACACCGCCCAATTTATTTAGAATAAATTATCTCATAAACCACCACAAGGTGTCCCTCATTCCCATCTCAAAAAGTTGGGAGGTATGTATACAGTATAATATAGAGTATATACAGTAATATACTTCAAAGTGAGTGACTTTTGAGTGAGCACAGTGGTCAAGGTGTATTGGTCAAGAGAGAAAAAGAAAAGAAAAAAAAAAAAAGAAAGGGGGCTGAAAAAAGTGATGAAAATCAATAGAAAAAAAAGGAGAACAAAAAATAGCTGAGTGAGAGCAAAAAAAAAAAAAAGTAAAATGAGGAAAAAAGAAAAAAAGAAAGGAGGGAAAGAAAGAGAAAAAGAAAGGAAATAAGAAAGAGAAAAGGGGTAGGAAAAGAAAGTAAAGGAAAAAAGGGAAAAGGGGGAAAAAATGAAATAAAAAAGGGGGAAGAAAATAAGGTGAAATAGAAAAGGAAAAGGAAAAAGGAAAAAAAGGAAAAATGGAAAAAAAGAAAAGAGACAAGAGGGAAAAAAAAAAGGGAATAAAAGAAAAGAAGGAAAAAGGAGTGGAAAAAAAAAGAGAGAAAAGGAGTAAGGAAAAGGGGAAAAAAAAAGGAAAAAAGGAAGAAGGGAGGAAAAGGAAGTAAAGGAAAGGTGTGAAAAAAGGAAATGCAAAAAACGGAAAGAAAAAAAAGGAAAAGGGTGAAGGTTGGGAAGGAAAGGAGAGGATAGAAAAAAGAAATGAAAAAAGTTTATAGAAAAAATAAAAAAAAAGAAGAGAAAAAAAGAAAAAAGGAAAAAAAAAAAAAAAAAAGAAAAAAAAAAAAAAAGGAAAGGAAAGAAAGAAGAGAAAAGGGGGGGGAAAAGAAAAAAAAAAAAAAAAAATGGGAAGGAAGGGGAGAAGAAAAAAAAGTAAGGGGGAAAAAAGTGAAAAATGAGAAATAAAGGGGAAGAAGTGAGGGAGGAAGAAAGGAAAGAAAAGGAGAAAAGGAAGAAAAGAAAAAAAAAAGTGAAAAAAAGAAAAAAAAAGAAAGGAAAAAAAAAAAGGAAAAGAAATGAAAGAGAAAAGGGGGAAGGGAAAAAAAGGGAAAAGAAAAGAAAAAAAGAGAGAAAAAGAAAAAAAAAAAAAAGATGAAGAAAGGGAAAGAAAAGAAGGGAAGAGGGAAAATCGTGAAAAACAAAAAAAAAAGGAGGTAACGGGACAAAAAGTGGAAAAGAAAGGGGGAAGAAAAGGAAGGAAACAACAAAGGAAGAAGAAAAAAGAAAAAAAGAACTTGGAAAAGAAAAAAAAGAAGAAAAAAAAGGAGAAAAAAAAATAAAAAAAAAAAAAAAAAATGAAAGGGAAGGAGTCAAAAAAAAAAAAAAGGGGGGGGAAGAAGTGAAGAGGAGGGAAAGAAAATAAGGAAGGGGAAAGAGAAAAAAAAAAAAGACAGGAAAAGAAAAAAAAAAGAAAAAAAGAAGAGAAGGGAAAAAAAAAAGAAAAAAAAAAAAAAAAAAGAAAAAAGAAAAAGGAGAAAAAAAATGGGAAAAAAAAGAAAGGTGGCAAAGAAAAATAAAAAACAAAGAAAAAGAGAAAAGAAAAGAGAAAGAAGAAAAAAAAAAAAAAAAAAAAATAAAAAAAAAAAGAGTAAAAGATAGAGAAAAGAGAAAATGAAAAAAAAAGGGGAAAAGAAAAAGAAAGAAAGAACAAAAAAAAAGAAAAAAAAAAAAAAAAAGAAGAAAAAGAAAAAGAAAGGAAAAAAGAAGAAGATAAGAAGAAAAAAAAAAGAAAGCGAAAGAAAAAGAAAAAAAGAAAAAAGGGGAAAAGAAAAGGGGAAAAAAAAGAAAAAAAAAATAAAGAAAGAGAAAAAAAGAAAGAAAAAAAAAAAGAAAAAAAAAGGAGGAAGAAAGGAAAAAAAAAAGAAAAAAAGATAAAAATGGAAAATGAAAGAAAAGAAAGGAAAAGAAAAAAAAAAGAAAAAAAAGTTAGAAAAGGGAGAAAAAAAAGAAGAAAGAAAAAAAGAAAAAAAAAAAAAACTTAAAAAAAAAGAAACAAAAGGGAATAAAGAGAAAAGAAAAAAGGGAAGAGAAAAGAAAAAAAAAAAGGGTCTAAGGAAAAAAAAAAAAAAGGAGGAAAGAAAGTAAAGAACTGAAAGGAAGAAAAAAAAAGGAAAGGTCCTGAGAAGAAAAGAAAAAAAAAAAAAAAAAAAAAAAAAAAGAAAAAAGAAAAAAAAAAAAAAAAAAAAAAAAGG